CTATAGGCACAACCCTTTGTTACCAGCAAATCCTGATGTATTCACTCAGTGAGCATTCCTATTGATTTGTTTCATCGTTTCAGAATTGATTTTATTCAAAACAAACAGAAGTTTACAGCAATGGTTGTGACACGAGCTTGTGGTAACAGCAAGTGCAGAGAGCTTTTAAGTGTGAGATTGTTTTGCTATGAATTGAAGTCAGCAGAGAAAAATGCTCTCTGCCAGAATCTGTTCATTTTCTCACTGCAGGATCTAAGTCTCAGAGCTCGTACTGACTGATTACTGTCAAGGACAAAGCACAGAATTCTGTACCAGACTCTCTACAACTGAATAAAAATCCATTTTGCTATTTTGGGTGCCTGCAGCAAAAAAAAAWAAAACATAAAAATGTTTGATGCAATGTAATTTTATTATTTCAGGAGCAAATGGAGGATTTGCTGTTTGTAGTGCTGGATCATAAAACTTGCTTGTGATATCTTTTGAAGGCTGTATGATTTATGCCTTTTTATTAGCTCTTAAATGAGGGTAATTATATAACAGACACAATTACTGCATGGCAGAAGAAGTAGAAAATATTTAAGAAATAAAGAAAAATATTTTGAGTCCTTCCTAACCCTTTCATATATAAGTATAGCATTTTTTATATATAAAATTCTGGTACCTTTTGCAAACTGTGAGCCATAATACCTCAAATGCTTCCATCTATAATTGATGAAAATTGTTTGCATTGATGAATGACCATATAGTAGTATCTGGCTTCAGTCCGTATCTCATCTGTTTTTAAGATATGTGATAGAATTACCTGTTAAGATTTTGTGAGATGACAWTTTTTTTTCAGTTGCATCCTTTTTTAGGCAGTATTATCTTCAAGAAATACTTAGTACTAATCAGTCCTTTGAAAAATCAGTTTTCAAAATTCACAGGTGCTCCTTGTGAACTGTTCTCCCACCCAAATTCACTAATCAGATGATAATAATAATAAAAAAAAMCCACCTTTTCTGTGTTTGTAAGGACTAGTAATAAAACGTTGGATTCCCCTGGAGTACTTTCTTACAAATATAATCCCTTTAAAGTCAGTACAGTGAGTGTATATAAGTCTACAATCTAGTCTATAGGGACTGAATCTGTGGAACTGAAGTGTCCTTTATCAGATACAAACCTGTATCTATAATGCACAAAGAAGGCTCAACAATATTATGTGCCTGTATATTAATAATTAATTTGTTGAAAAAAATGCTATATGCAATAAAAATTTTAGGAGATAATTTCAGCAGAATGGCCCTATATAAATTCAAGCACCACATGCAAATATAAGAATGAATTATTTTCATATAGAAATTAGAGAAATGTGTAACGTGTTGAAGTTTTAATGCTATCTATAATTTTTATGTACCATTCAAAAAGCTGAGGAGGCAGAAGACCTTTGATTGTGCTTTCCTTTCTCCCAGATATAAGCTGATAGATATTCTCTGCAGAAAAAAAAAAAAAAAATTTCCCTTTTTTTATTCCCTGAGTCAGAGAAAGGTTTATTAATCTAGTTTTATTACTGCACTGATTGGGGCTACCAGCCTTCCAGTTGGCATTGGGGCGCAGCCTGCAGAAGGCTTTGTGAACATGCCTTGAATTATTGTCTTTCTCTCTCTGCCAGCCATTACTTATTCTCAGGTAGATAGCTGAAAATATGAAAGATGAAAATAACCGACCTGCAGATAAGGCTTAAAAAGGGGGATTGAATTGATTGAGAGGTTAGAATTCATATGTGCAAACATTTTGTGGATTTGCGAAGAGAGGAATTATTCAGGATTTAGGATAAAATGCATGAAGAAATAGTTCAAAGTCCCATTTTCTAATTGTGGATTTCAGTGTAGTTGTTAGTACAGCCTCCACGGAGAATGGAAAAATCTGGCTGATGATTGCTGAGTGCTGAGGCCCCTCAAGTGTTACATATATGTGAGTATATGTATATAGGCACATACATCTACTGCACTCCCTGTCCAGGTTAGGTCTGAAAGTGAGATTTGTGCTTGTCATAAGAACTTCAGGCTTAATTTACATTAATTTTTGTCATTCRGAATTGCAAGATAAAAGATTGTGTGATGACATCAGGGCTTCATCTATTACCTTTTCTACAAGTCTCTTGGGGCTCTCGGAACAGCTGTGAGGCAGCTGTTTGATCTATYATTTTTTGAAAACTTCAATTCCCAGAGCTTAAAAATAGTGTCCTGCAAAAGAATTAAATGTCAGGAAATTAGTTTGAGGGAGAAGAAGGATCCAAAAAGAGCGATCCTGCACAAGATGCATTTCATACAGCCAGACACACAGCCTCACATACAAAAACCAAAGTGTAATCTAATCAGGTGGCAGGCTGCTGGTGATGTGGAGACAGAAGCATTCAGAGGATGTGGGATTTGGGCTGATTACTATATGACTAACAAAAAAATTATATTGTCTCCTTGCTGTGAAAGAAATGCACATTAAAATGGAAAGATTAAAATTGCATAATTTACCGCAGTTCTAATTAAAACTAAAATTGCAGGGTCAGGTTGCATAATCAGAGCCTGTCATGACTGTCTAGTTAGTCATTAGATGACTGTGAACATTGCTACATTGTTTCAGATGGCCCATAAACCAAAACGCTTAATGACTGGGAAGACTGTTGCCTTCTGTTGTTATCTACAGTAAAATTGCAAGCATTTATCATTTTTTTTCTGTCTTCCACTTCCCACACTGCACATATACCCCCACTTTATCTAATGGTCTGTTGCCACATTGCCTTGAGTTCTTCTCGTGAATGTGTGCTTTGAAAACTGTGCTTCTAGAACCCATGGAGCCTGGGACTTGTAAGCAAGAGGCTTTAGACAAAAAAGCCAAGCACGGAAAGTCTGGGAAATGCAGGGATTTGATCCTTTGTAGCCAGACTGAACTATTCAGATAAGAGGYATTTTACCCTGTAAACTTACATTTTTTAAAGATCAATTGTAGTCCTACAGTAGCCTCTCTAATTGTGAAGTAATGAGCTAGGGCAATTTTAGATTTTATTTTGTGTTGTATTTTCTAGTAGTGTTGCGTGGCAGTAACGGGTAGCAAGGGGTAACCTCCCAGCTGCCAAATCTCACTGGCTGTAAAGAAAGAGGCTGTGCAGATAACAAAAATGGGTATCAGGCAAGCCTAGAATAACTTTCCTTTTCTTTGCTCTTACTGAATAAATGAATCAGGTCTCATACGTCATGCTAACAATATGTTACTACACTCACTAGTATGATTCAGTTGTTTCACCATCCGGGTAAAATGGACCAGAGCTGCTGCTTTTGACTAGAGTGGTGTAAAGCAGCTGGAAAATATTTTTTGAGAAATTTGTCCCATCTTTTAGTACAGATCYAGGACCTGCATATATTTTTTTTCTAGACCATACCATCTTTCCTAAATTTGATTCAATAAAAGAACACTTCTTCCTTTCCTTTTGAAACAATATTTGTATTTGTTGCGGGTTTCAAATTGCCATGCAAAGAGATTTCTTCCTCTCTTGAGAGAAAACCTCCGCAGTGTGAGGGCCTGGGCATTCATACAGAGAAGACAAATAGCACTATCTCCTATAAGGAAAGTGGAGTAAATGAGAATTATATTTTAGCCACGTCAAAGCTGCTGTATATTCATTATGCTACTAACAGAAGATATAAAATCATCCTTTTCTTATTCCTTTTCTTCTAAACAACAACAAGATTTTAAGATTAGTCAAACTAGAGCAGATTGCTGGTTTTGTTGCTTAGGTATTTTACTCAGCAGTGCATGAAAACCTTTATATTTTAATTTGCATGCAGACTACTGCCTGTGTCCTTAAAGTTGTATATGTTGTTTTCAGAAATCTCCATGGATCTACATCAACCAAATTCATACGATTTTGTATGTGCTTTTTTTTTCCCTGGTACTATCAAGTGCCACTTCTGGTAAATGAACCCCCTCCTGGGTCATTTCCACAATCTGGAGCAGAACTGTGTTATCTTTCTGCCTCATTGACTTACCGTCTCATTCTCAGTCTCTGAAGAAAGCCTATCTTTTTTTTTCTCTTCCTTGCTTTATACTAGTTTTATGTTCCATAAGGGCAAGTTTAGTCCCAATCCATGCCATTTAGTTATAAAAAACAGGCTCTAATTTAATGATCCGTAATATTTCATAAAAACTTCCTCTCAAATCAAAGTAATAGCATGTAGAAAAAAATTCTAAAATGCAAGAGGCAAGTAAATCATAAGTGCCTTAAAGCACAAAGAAGTCATTCATCTGAACATTAATCCAAACACCACAGTAAAATACTCTATTTAATGGATTATTATTGTTGTTGGGTTTATTTAAGCTCTAACTGTATGCTGTGTTCTTCCATATTCTTTTCCATGTGAATATGTTCCTGTTTTTTCTATACTAAACAAAACCTTAATCAAGCCTCTGGAAAATGAATGAAGCTACATAAAGGCCAATGAATTTTGGCTCCACAAAGCTGGAACGGAAAAACGAATAAATGAGAGAGCTTAAATGAGTAGGAACGACTATCTCATCCCCCTCCTGCTGTTTAAAGGCAGACAGTTTCTGGTATGATCTGATTAGAGTTTGTAAATATGAGAGGGGAAAAATTGCTCTGGAGCATCTTCTAGAAAGATGCAGGACCTGGAGAAGTGTCAGGAGTCCATGTGTGACATTCATTAGTAGTTCAGTGCAGACTTGAGTCTCCTGTTCATATATTTATGGTTCTGAAAACAGGCGTCACTATATTTTTTTCCTCATGATTGAAATAAAACGCTACAGAGAAAATAAAATGAACTTAAAACTGAGCATGGAGTGCTCAGCAGAGGCAGTTGTCTCCAGTGTGGATGCAAAGCATTTTGAAGCTTGAAAATAAACCCCAAATAAACTGTGTTGTGTATTTTTTTTCTCTGTTCTTATAAATATGCTTTCAATTTACATATGGCTGATAGAAAATTCCTGAGCCAAATTCCATGTCCTGTTATTTTTGCACAGTAGCCTTTTATGTAGACCCAAGGATTTCAGCTTTTCCTACTTCAAGCAGTTATATTGTCCTTAATATAAATTACTTCCTTAAAAAGAGCAAAGCACATGAGATACACATTTTTTTTCAGTATAATTAGAGGTAACAACTTCCTTCCTCTGTGCTACAGCAGTGTGGAGCAACTGGAAAACTGCCAGAATCAGGTCTATCATTAGTAAAGATCCAGGATCCACATCCCATTTCATCCCACTGTGTGGTTGTCCCTTACAAACAGGACATCTGGCACATGTTAAAAATGCCTCTTGAAAACACTTAGACTCTCATTTTTTTGAGTATGGTTGATTTCTTTTTTTCATGTAAAACAGTCAATGAGAAATACATAGAGATCTCTGTGATATATAAAAGGTCAAATGCCTGTGAGCCTTCTTAAGACCTGTAATATTCTCCCTCGTTTCCAAAAGCAAAGAGAAATATTGAAGAGTCATTGAGTACCTCAATTTATACCTCCCAGAAACTGCCCTCCTGTACTTAGCAGGATTGTGCTTATGACTTTTAGGTGAGTCAGAACCAACACTCTGTGACCTTTCTGCTTTCACATAAAGAAATGCCCTAAAGAACAATACATTTAATGGTTACTTGTGAATTCCTGAGATTTCTTCCTTCAGATACCCCTAGTATATTTCATAGTGTCTGTTGTGATCATGATGATCTCTTAACTAGTAAGTTAGAGACGTAACTATGAAGCCTGAGGATTTCAACTGAAGGACACATCTTGTGGCCTGATTTCAGACAAGTCCTTCAATGTGACTTGTCTGTCTGTCTGGGAAAGTGCCAGCAGACAACAGTTGACAGAACTACTTAACATTGACTTACCTCTAAAAGTATGATGTGTCACATTGCATTAAAACTATTTTGATAGTGTCACTGATGCTTCTGAAGTCTGTCAGAATACAGGTTTGAGAAGATCCCTTAATTCTGTTAGGAGCATATGTGCAAACTCCACAGCTGTGGAAAAGTGACAAAGATGGTCCTCTGGGGTTTGTTTCCCTTAGACATTAGGAGAAGATGTTCTAAAAGAGTGAGGGAATTGACAGGCTTGATGTAGGCCTGATAGAGGKTGATGTTTTCCACATGACCAGTTTTATAAGCAGACACATTATAAACTCTTTGAAGTTTATTGGCCCTAGAGAAAAAAATATCAAAATTAATTATCTATCTAACGTATTTGTTAATGAGCAATGTCCTTCCTCTTGGTTAATGTGGCAGTTTTTTCCCTTAATGGGAAAATCCCTTAATGGGAGCAGAGTGATTCAGAGTTTGGCTTTGTGTGTATGTTCGGGTTGGAAGAGCCCTTGGACCTGTCAGAGCAGCCATAATAGCCAAGTTCTGTGTGCCATCACAACCTCCTTCTTTCACTGTCCTTTGCTTGTAGTTAGTGCCTGTAGTTTGTTTATTAGTGGTTCACATATTTACTGGAGAGTCTTAGTGTCAGGTTTTCTTTTTGATGTCTGTAAATAATGGGATGAAATAGCTGATTTTTCCATATATATGATTTGCTATATCTGTATGTATATTCATACCTATATATGAACATGTATATGCGTGCAAGAAAATTGCTGTTTATAAAAGCAATCCACCTCATAGATAGCTCAAGTTGAAGGGAGAGGATGCTCTGTTGTCATGTTTCATTGTTTGGCAATTTCTATTTATTGTAATCTGGTGATGCAATGAAAGGTGCTGTTCAAAATGGTTTAGCATACGAGCTTCTCATCTCAAACTAAAATGCTGCCACTTGGTATAGAACCTTTTCTTCTGAAATAATGTTTAAACACGGGTCATCTCAGAAAAAAAACAGAGAAAAAGAGCAACTCATGTGGTTATCTTCTCATTGTAGCAAAAGGAGCTCAGTAGAAACACTGCAGTTCAACCCTATTTTCCTTTTTTTCTTATTGTCTGTCCACTRCTATGATCTGCTCATCTCAATGAGTTGAGTAGAAACGTTGACAGCCATGATCAGCTGTCACACAGATCAGGCTGTCAAGGCACTTTTGGCAGTGTGGGAATGGAGCTCTCAGCCTGCCACTCCCTATGTCATTGTGTGCCCAAGCAGATCTCAGATGAATGCAGCTGCAGTAGCGGGTCTGGCTCTCCATGAATGCAAATCTGGTATTCTATTGGAAGTTGGAAATCCCTGTTTGATCTCCTTGAATATATGAAGCAAAACTTAACATAGTTAAGAAAATTTAGTCTACTGCGGTTCCCAGTGGACCTTAGGGCAAGCTTTATTCTGTCTTCTTTTAATGCTGCCTGCCTTTCTCTACTGAACATGCRCTGCAGAGACTCATCTTCTTATGAGTTTCTGTCCATCTTCCCATTCCCTACCCCTTATTTCTGGGTCATGGGTTCTTCTGGGTATTTCTGGGATCTGGATTCTGGTCTCTTTCCATTCCTTGCATGCTGGATTTCTCCTGATTCTTTCTCCTGATGAAGAGAACGAAGGCCATTCTGTTCACCTTCGGTGGTGGTCTAGCTCTTCAGAGAGATGCACTTAGTGGGTTGTGAACACTGCATGATATTTGTTAAGGCACTTGGAGCCAGACATGCCTGTGAGGCTTTTTTATTGTTTTACCTCTTAAAAATAGCTTTGCTGTGTTTCTAGTAATGTTTTAGTGTTGTCCATTGTCAATCTTAGTCAATAAATTAGTTATTAGGTTAGTAACTCTGTTTTTATAATGCAGTTGCAAAAGAATAAGAAGTTGATAACTTTTAGTTGTGAATACAAAGTTAAGGGAGGATGTAATTGGCTCTGTTCTCTGATTCTGGTTTTACTTTGTTCTGTTGGAGCCCTCCTCTAATTCCAGCCTGTGTCTGATGAGGAATTCCATCACAGATTTTCTTCCTTGTCCAATTTAGGAAACTCCCAGGCAGAAATGTCTATGCCCAGATGCACAACGAAAAGGAGCAGGAGATGACAAGCCCTGTCAATCATAGTGAGGACACTCAGAACATCATCCAGGGTGAGGAGTTTATTGATGATGATCTGGATTCCCAAACACTAGGTAACGCAAGAGGTAAATTCAATTTAAGTTTATAAATTGCTGTCAGTGACTGATTTTTCAATGCTGTTGATTTTCATTCTAGTTTCCTTTTTTTTTTTTTTTCCCCCACCCCCATTTTCTACTCAGATTCAGGAAGAAGGAAATACCACTAACAAAGGACTATCTCGATTTTCTTCTTTTTGCTCGTAATTCAGCATAATGTATTGATGATATGACATATAGAAGTGTTATACATGACATGATATGCCATGTAGAGCAGAAGATAGATTTAATCTTGGGAGATGTACCAAGACAATTTAAGAATAGAAGTGCATTCGATATAAAATAAAATATAATTGCTAACATACAAATTACCTCAAGAATACTTCAAATTTGTGAAAAATGAAGTTTAGGTGAGAAGGAGTGTTTGTAGGGTTGATACTACCATGGTTTCAGATGGATTGTATCCATATTCAGATCTGTTGTTTTATTATCCATACTATCCCAGTGGAATATAAAGTGGCATAATTAGAAACATTGAATTTTACCTAGGTACAAAGTATAATGAATCTCCCCTATTTTAGCTGGTAGTTCATCTGTATTCATGGGGTGGTCCCAAGCAACCCATGAGGGAAGCTTTCTGTGACTGTCTCTTACTGCAAATGATGTCTGTATCAGATAGAAGTGTGTAACAGGCCACCCTAATGCTATCTTYCATGTAGCATAGAGTGCTGATCTATAAAGTTCATTTGCTATAAAATTTATTCCTCAGACGGCTTTCAGGTCACAGTCTGAGAAGTGTGGCACAATGTAAAAGGTTCTCCAGTTCCATTTCTACAGATTTTGTGAAAAAGAAACACATAACTCAAAGTCTCTGGGATTTGTAACAGTAGCTGTAATGGTATAACAGGCAACTATGACGTCTTCATGAACCCCTTGGACAAGATCTGTTTTACTTAGAGCAGAGGTAGTCTCAAGCAGTAGAGAAATCTGTCCCTGAAGAAATATCTTTATCTTGTGTTTCTTCTTTTAACTGTCTTTTGCTGTAGATGTCCTTATTTTCATTTGCTGATCCATGTGTCCCTTCAGAGTCCTTGGAGATASTAGCTTTCAGTAAAAGTGAAGATTCCAGCCTTCAGCTTTACTTCAAACTTTGTGTATATCTACTTTCTTTGACAAAGTTTGTGTAAAATTATCATTGTGTTTTCATTAAGATTCTGCAAAAGGACTTTGATTGTACTCCTAATTCTATTTGGGTTAATTCCAAAGCCTCTCCTGTAGAAACAAAGCTATGTTGAAATTATTTGATTAAGTCACCTCCAGGGTCTTTAGAGCAGAATACTGAATTCAGAAAAGGTTCAGGCAGATGTACCTATTAAAGTGGAACATTCTACAGCCCCTAGAAATGTACAAAAGCRTAACTTCTTTCAGAGGTAGAAAATCATGGCCAATTTATATGAAGCAGTTTGGAACAGTGGAATGAAGAAATGCCACCTTGAGTTGTAACAATCAAAAATAGCCTCCTTATTTGCTCACTGTTGACGACATGGGCTTGATGCTGCACTCGTTACTGGGAGAAAACTTTTCTTGCCTCTGCATAAAACATTGTTAGGACTAAAGAGTGCAAGATCATGATGTTTTGATAGCAGCTGTAGATTGTTAGCAAATGCAGATCTCAAGGTGATCTGTGCTCCTGCCGGGTTGTCGACACCAGCAGCACTCCCCGTGGAGCATGAAGAGTTCATTTCTGTGGGTCATGATCATCTGTATTCATCAGCTACTGTTCTGCTTTTAGACAAAAGACTTCAATTAAGACATAAAATTATACTTTCTCTGTATTCTGTTTTGTTACTTGCAATACTTTCCACTAGCTCCAGTACCAACTGGAGCTCAGTCAGTATCAACTGCTGAGAAAATATTCTTGTATATAATACTCTTCTATTTTATGTGGCAGGAGTAAGAATTATATTATAATCCCTGCTTTGTATTGAATTCTGTTTTACAACATTATTTACAGAGGGTTCTTATGCTAGGGAGATTCCTGCTAATTCTGATGAGCTCTTTCCCTCCCTACTTGGGAGATCACTGTAACAGCCTCCACTCCATGCACAGCAGGGGTTTGCAGGCCTAGGTTTCTGCTTGTTCTTTCTCTCTCATAACTTTTGAATTTCCACAGTACAGTATTTCCAGACTCACCCATCCACTTTTTTTGTTTTCTATATATTTTATGTTGCCTACTTTATCGCAACCCCCACGTTGGGACTCCTCAACACCATTACCTTGCAGTGACTCCTTCTGGGAGAAGTGGCAACTTGAACAGCTACAGAGTTCCCCTATTGCTGATGCCGGTCAGTGTCCAGTCCCAGGTCAGTGGCATGTTGAATGGAAGCCTCAGGTTCCATTCTCCTCCCTCACCTGCACCCCTCAAGACAACTACACCTTTGTAAGCCACAAAGAGAACCAACTTGTGCTGTCACAGGGATAGAAACCCTAGGACTTCACCACAAATTCACCATCATGAGCAAAAGCTTTAAGCAAACGTATGCTGTAGGTACACAAGGAGCTGTTGCGCCAACCTTCACCTGATCTGTTCTTTGCTAGAAACATTCTCTTTATGTGACTGACTTGTCCCTGAACTAAAAGGGGGATTTATTGTGAAGCTCCCAAAACATACTAATAACAGCTTTTGTTTTTATATTTTCATAGGCAATCACTCAGGCGTGGTTTTGAGCATCAACTCCAGAGAGATGCACAGTTACCTGGTTAGCTGATATTTACAGCTGAACACAAAAACCGAAAGACACTTCTCTGTATCATTTTATTTTTCTCTGATATCACTAAAATTTCAAATACGGCTGTAAATGCTGGTGGAGAGGAGGTTCCTTAACAGTCCTGTGGAAAAAAAAGCATCCATCATCAGTTACCGGGGAGAAGGATAATAAATTTTGTGTTCCTCTATGGTCTGGAAACTTGTTACAATTCAAACTCCAAGTAAGGTAGCAAATTTGTAGCCCTAGGCACATTCAATGCCACATTCTTTATTTTTCTCTGTATGTGTTCTAGTTTCTTTGTGTTTATTTTTAGAACTAACTGACTGTAACTTTTTAATTATATTTTTAATTGCGGTAATCAGTGGAAGGCTGGGACTCCTCAGCTTGAGAAATTGATTTGTAAACAAGTGACTAGACCAGAACAGATGGCTGGTTGAACACTATGATATTTTTTTCAGAAGTCTATAATTCAGAAATGGTTGTGTACCAAGAGAGGTCTTAGCAAGGAGACGAATGTTCTCCTAGTGAATTCAAGCTCTTAACTTAAAAATGTGTGAGACAATCTAATGAATTTAGGCTTAGGCCCTTCTRTGGACTAAAGGGATCAAAATGCTAGTTAGGATACTCTAAAATTATAGGATAATGTTCTAGTAAGTGAAGCAAGTTCTGACAAACCATTAGCACCCTTGTCTCTCCCAAATCCCACCCCGTGGAAGATAAAACACCAGCTTGATGCTTTTCCAGACCAGGTGCCTTCGCTTGCAGACAGTCATTTCGGTTGTGTTCCTCTCCTAACCAAGCACCTCTAGAACGAWCTGCTGCCAGATCAGTTATCACGTAACAAACTGTTCTGACAGCCTGTCTGTTTTTAAATTTCTGAGAGTGTAAATACCTCCTTTAAGTAGCTTTCTTTGTATGGTTATTTTTTTAAAACTTCCTATTCTTAGGGCAGGTATGTCAGAGTTCTTCTCCATACGGGACAGTGTAGCGCACCAGAATTCCCTCGCTCCTGGGATTTCCCCTTGGTATTGTGTTGGAATTCCTTCCCTGCAGTCAGGGCTGGGAAAACTCTTACCTGACCTTTGCCACTTGGATGTGTTGGAAATCCAGAGGGTCTGGAGGAGGATGGACCGAGGTGCAGGGTATTTCCTTGCTCTCACCACAGGGTGTCACTCAGGCCCCACCAGGCACCAGCCCCTATTTCTGCAGGAAGGGCAGTGGGCATGTGAGTCAGCTCAGAGTTTCCTTATCCCAGCCTCTGCATCCCTACGGAATGGAAATCCAGTGAATCCACACCTTGCTGGTCATTTATATGTGATTTTTTTTTTTTTTTTTGGTAAAAGATAGATTGTGGTGTGATGAATTTAACCATTTGGCATCCATGTTCTCACAACTGCCTCGAATTAGGACACTTTCATAAGAAACCCATAAAATCTCTTCACCTTTTGCCTTCAATAGAGACTAAATGGCTCTTTGCTATGTGAATGTTGTACTAATGCTGGTAGCAAATTACAGCACCAGCTTTCTTAAGGCGGATATTGATTGCTAACTACATCCTTGTGAATAAACCACGCAAATAGGCAATGCTGGTAAGACAGAACTATCTTAAAATTATCCTATGCTTTGGAGTCACTCTTCCATATTGCTGTGGATATCCTGGGATGTATTTCCATCAAATGCAACAACCTTGGACATCATAATTCAATGTGATAATTCAGTGTAGTACTGCAGACTCGCACAAACAACACAGGATCTATATGTAAAGCACAAGAAATTCTAGTGATGAGACTAAATATATGGAACTGGGTGGAAAAGTTAAGGATTCTGACAAGCGCTTGGAAAATACTCAGGAAAAATATTTAAAGAAATCTCTCTGAAATTCCCACCTGTATAGATCTAGACTGTCAAGCAAACAAGACTTGCAGAGAAGCAGTGTTCTAGCTGAGTGCTGTGTGCAGGCTCCATGTAAATGTGTCTGCGTGTGGGTTTCATGAAGACAAATGCCAAGGCCGATACAAAATGCACTGTGGAGCTCTCAGGACTGTGGTGTCGGAGGCCTGCCCTTCCTCCCAGCTCTTTACCTATTTCTCTCTTTTTTTTCTGGAAATGACCTGGATCGGAGAATAAAGTAGTGCTACAAGCAGCTTACTCTTTCCTGAGAAGTAAATTTGAAGTGGGTTATTTATATAGGGCAGTTAAGCAGTGAATTAGCCTTATGGAGAAGGAATGGGATGGAAATTCTAGCTCGGGGTCTCTCTCTCCTTGATTAAGTGATTGGCTAAGGACTSTATAGGAACGAGTCACACACACTGATTCGTGTTTTAACAACTGCCTTTATACGTCTTAGTGCAATTTGTGTCTCTGGTGACAGGAGTCCTTTGGAATACAGTAGAATATTTAACTGCTAGGTACTCTAATTAACACATAGCACACACTTAGTGCCTATAACATATTTCTCTGATAATTAACGTAATTCATGCAGCGCTCCTTTGGGGTTGGTTTGTCATATCTTAAAAACACAGTGTTTTCTAAAGAGAAGTCACTGTTACTGTATCTATATTAATAATGTTTGCAGATAATAAAGGAAACCTTTGATTCTGTGGTGAGGATAACTTTAAAATGAATTATTTTGAAACCAAGAAAATGCCCTTCCCTTTTAATGTCACGTAGTTTATCTGTAAATAAAAATTCTCACTAGTGCCAAGTTTTGAATCTCTTGAATTACATCTGTGGCATCTTTGTATTTTTAAACAGCATATATACGTGCTCTTCTTTACATATATCCAAACCCCTGATGTATGCATATACAGAAACTGAGAGTTGTTGATATGCACAGTCACTAGGCACATGTGCATGCAGATACACACTCACTATTTAGACATAGGCAGTTAAATTTGCTAATGAGGAAGGGTGGTTTGGTGGCTAGGAAACAACATCCAGGTGATCTGGGTTCTATCCCCAGACTTCAGGCAAGTTATTTAACCCACATGTGCCTCCATTTCCTTCCTGTAAGATGAGGCTGATAATTGCTTATCTCGCAGTGGTARTGTGAGGCTAAATTAACCATTGTTCATTCAGTATTCAGTAGAATAATGTGAGAACAAATGATCAATAATCTTGCTTTATTTTACTTGTTGTTATTGCTGTTATTTAAGGCAATCTAGGGAAACCAGCTGCAGTTATATGTAAATATWAAAAATACATAATCCAAAAGGTACGTAACTGTTAAATCACAWTTTTCTCTTGAAAACTCTTATTGGGATGCAATGTTATGGGATGACATTGCTATATTAGTTGTATTTTTGCTAATTTGTATTAAATGTATCATTTTTCCACAGCATTTTGGGGTTAATAAGACTTGTAATAATGGGTACAATGATTTAGCAACTACATTGATACCTGTCAGCACTGATACTGAACTATACTAAAATTGCTAACAGCAAAACTTGCACTGTGTTGGCCTCATTTATAGCTTGTAGCTTAAACTGTTACACATTCACAAATTTAAAAACACGCTTCACTTTTCAGAACACTCCAAGAAATACTGATGTGAGGCATTTAATGTAACCACCACGATTTACAGCTATTGCCTTTGGTTTCCCTCTCTGCATAAAAGAAAGGAAGAGATTCTTGCTCTAAATGCCTTCATTTTAGCTGCGAAACTTTCCATACAGATAATGAGCTCAGAAATACTCAGGAAACATAAAGGGAAATCCTACATACAATGTAAATTAATTTCTCAAAAAAAAAAAAAAAAAAAAAAAAAAGCATCTTTGTACCCTGCAAATGAGGGTGTTAGGCTGTGGAGAAATAAGAAGTTCCAGCTCGAGGTGAAATCTTGTTATATCTCCATTTCCCTTTCAATTTTTTTGTATTATTTTAGGATAGTCTCGTTGAATTATATGACTTTTGCTGAGTTTTCGGCTTTCAGTGACTAGTGTGAAATGGAGGAGATTGTTTCTTCACATGAAGTGGATGATTTGGCGAATTACTGTCCTGTGGACAGGCAAATCAATGGTCTGCCTTTGCTAGTTCATCGTACAGAGCAGATTTCATCTGATACCCCAAGGACTGATAGCTGCCTTCTTAGCTCCAGTGAGAAATGCCTTTAATGGGGATACTCWCCTACTGCATGATATCTCTTAAACAGAGGCTAGCAGAATGGATTTCCTTTGGCTTCCATTCTTGTTGAATTACCTGCTATTGTGATACAGCTTTGATGATGAACCAATGGTTCTGATGTGCTTTTGAATCTTTAGCAATTTTTAAAGCYCAGCACAGTGCAAGTAAGTTGGTGGTAATTTCAGTCACAACACTCACAACACTTTGTTCACAACATTTTATAATTATTTTTAAAAGAGTTTTTTATGGAAAACTCATAGTTTAATTTATTTGCAGAATCACTAGCAGTTGCAGTTGCTATCTCTTGGTTAATACTGCTCTGTTGTTGCCATCTTCACAAATATGTGAGAGGTTTACGTGAAGATAAGCAAACATTAGTCTCATCATCCTAGCTGTTCAGCGGAAAGAAAATTGTAAGCATTTACTATTTTAAATATGGATTTTTGAGATGCAAGGTTTTGTTGAATCTTCCAGTCCCTCAAAGAATAAGTTGCTTCCTGGCTCATTTTCTGTCTTCTAGTCTTCTACAACTGTCTTGGAGACTGGCATGCAGCCTGATCCTACTAGTCTGTGGAATTCTTTCTAAAATCTTCCTTTAGAACAGCATTTAAGTGCCTAGAAATAACTGCAGRATCTACTCAGAGAGAATTCATCATACTATGTTTTCGTGTTCTTTATTTCCATTCAGTATTTTTAGCATTCTCAGTGCTATTTAAAGTATTTATTCCTGGCCTGGATATGTATATAATGTTTTTTTCACTCATTTTCAGACTAAAATCATTAAAGTAACAAATGTTGAAAGAACTTAGACCTACATTAGCTTTAGTGCTTAAAAGCCTGGTCCTTGTAGTCTCTGGGAAATGTCACTCAGTTTTTTTAATCTTTCTTCCTAAGTTAGTTATAGTTAGTTATTTTACCTTGTCTGATTCACCTCTATAGCATTTCTTTTAATTCTTTTTTGTTACCTTATGTTGGCCRGAATACAGAATGGCTTTTGAATTTCTGTATGTGCTAGAACAAACCATATCCCAGATTCAAACAAGAAWGAACTAAGTTTTTGTATTTCCTTTCTTTTTAAATCTTTTGTTATAGGGCACAGRGAATAGTTTCATC